TCCATGTCACGGCTTAGCACCTGTAAATGAAACGAGTCATGTGCTGCGGGTCGGGTTGGCATGTTGATCTCCCTGGGTTGATGCGCGGATCTTGAAAGATTTTAAATGATCCAAACGACATCGTTTCCCTCCAATATAAAAGCCTAAATTTACTCATTTACCTTAGATTTTCCCCGTCTCTTCTCTTTTTTCTCTTTTTTTTTCTCTGTTTCTCTCTTTAGAATTCTTTGAACATCAATTGAAAACCCAAACTTAACCCAAATCATTACGAAAAAAAATACAAATTCCAACTAAAAGTTGCTAGAAGACTCAAACATGTTGCTGAAAAGTTTAACAAATTTTTAGAATTCCCAAAAATTTCCAAAAACCTAGAAACAAAAAAAAAAAAACACTAAATTGAACCTTTTTTTCAAATCTCTCTTTTGATCTTTTAAAAATTTCCAGCAACACTAATTCTAATTTTTCCAATTCTAAAAACCTTAAATATTTTTTTCTACCAAAAACTTTTCAAAAAAATCTTGCACTTGTACTCTTTCTTTTTTTTGTGTATATTTTTCTATCAATTCGTGTTGTTGCTGTCGAATCTGGGTTTGTATGTATAGGGTTTAAATCATGAGAACCCTAAATCAAAAAGAATTTTAATTTCTCTTTAATTCTAACTTCAAACTTTGATTTTAACCTAAATTTTGTAATCCCAAAAGAATAATCTCAGATAAACTCAATCACCCTCAAACTTTCCTTTTTTTTAAACATTTAACAAAAAAAAATAGTTACAACCTCAGACAAATTGGGATGTCTACAAACTTTGCAAGTGATTTCTGCTTCCAATGCCTAAACTTCATTATATACATCATTATCCGCTCCTTATATGAATCCAACTTTCTATTTGTGGTTAGGTAATATATCACATTTAGAAATCGATAGAAAAAGTAGTATGCACTCAAACATATTAGTCTCGAGTATTTTTAACTTTTCAAACTATTCTATGTTTGGTCATTGCAATTGCAAAAAAGAATCATATTGAAAAATGGACAACCATTGTAAGATTTTTCTCATAGAATCAAGTAAATTATGAACTACTCAATAACTATATAGAATAAATTAAGAAGCAATAAGTAATTTTTGCGAAAATGAGATTCCAATCATCTATACCAACTTGGGACTATGCTTTCTTATGTAGGTTTCTAGCTTCAATTTTTTTATCTTTCAAGGATTGTGAGAAGGAAATTATGGTGCAAATGGGTTTTGACATTCTATTATATAGTTGACAATGAATATAAGAAATTAAACAAAAAACCAAACTTACCTTTAGCAATATACCAGTAATTTGGCCTAGTTAATGGTGTTTTACTCTCATATCACAAATGATAAAAAATTGACAAAACCTTGAAAACATTATTCAATCTCTGATGTCTTTCTTATAAAACAACTGAATCCATGTTCTTGCTACAATCCAATAACTCATACCTTACATAATTTTTGATTTGACCCAATACTATCTTTAAAATAAACTAATAATTGTATTTAATCTACAAGAGTAGTCAAGATAGTTTTTTGTTTACCTTATAATAGATTTCCTCTTGCCAATCATCTATAATTACATATCTGGTCTACTCTACAACATCTAAAGATGCTACAACATATTGTATACATTCAACAAATGTCACAAACATGAAAATTTGTGGTTCAAAGAAAATAAGTAACAAGAGAAAAATACATTAGAAAAAGAAATATTATCTTCATTAGACTCCTTTGAAAGGTGAATATTTAACCAATAGAGATAAACAAATAGAAAAAGTTTAGCCTACAACCAGATAATAACATGTTAACTAGCTAACTTTTAGGGTTACCTAGATCATGAAAATTGCTATATTTGTTAGAATTTGGGGTAGTGTTCTAAAATTTGGCCTCCATTTGAAGCATCCTCAAAGATATTCTCTTTAGAGAATATGATGAAATTGGAGATCAATATAGTAGTTTTCAGTTGTGTAGTGAAGAAAAAATAAAGACAAATAGCCAAGTTGTTCTCTTCTTCATATTGAGAAAACTAACGCTCTTTCACCTTATTTTACATTTCATTTGGTAAACGAGCAAGCTTTTGAGAATGTAGATAAGATACATATTCATACAAATATGCTTAGAAATCATGGGAATGCCATAATTTTTATGATTAATTACCTGATTACTTGCTGCAGTATAATTATTTTCATCAAATTTTATAGCATGTTCTTTCACAAGTTCATTTATCAAAATTTCATAAATAAGGGAAAATGCCTCTTTATGTATCCAATCTACAATATGCAAAGGCATTACATTAGTAAAATCTTTAATGAACATGTTAAAATCTAGACAATGAATAAGTACTACTAAAATGTACGTACTTTACATCTTGTTCACAATACTTTGTCACGCATTACTCAGCAATTGAGTTCTCAAATCAACTATTTCCATGGCTGGTTTTTTACTTGGCGGCAAAGGCTTCAATGTTCTTGGTTTTCATTAATGTCTAAAAAAAATTGAAATATAGTTACCAATGCTTAGTCAACTCACTAGTTTATAAAAGTTGAAACCTAAATTTAGGTCTATGGCTAAACAAATACTTTGAATGCCTTAGACCTTAACTCTGTATTTCGCAAATGATAAAAATCGGAGTCCACGTTTTTAGTTAATTCCAATTTTTAAAGAGTTTCCTTACTAAAATATAGTTAGGCTTCGGGTTTCAAGTTTCGAGTTTTAGAGTTGATCCAAATTCGAGCTCAAGCCTGAAAATATATCTATTCAATTTGATTGTTGTCTTCTTTTTCCCCACTTTTCGTTTGTTTTCTTTATAAAGAGCCCATGTGTTGGTTTTTTTTAACAAATTTATTTGTCATTCCTTGATACTATGTACTATGAAGCCAAGTAATACAATATTTTTCAAAAGTTGAATTATTGTTAATCTCAACAAAATTAACATAGTTATCGAAACCGAATTGAACATTAAATCGTTCAAGGCTTTGGGTTATCGGGTCAATGGTTCAACCACCAAGTTAATGGGTTAATTGTCGATTCAAAAAATATATATAAAAGATATAAATATTTTAAAAATTCAAAATTCAAACTTTTAACTAAAATTATAGTTTAATAATTCAACCATAAAACTATAAATTTTAACGTATATCATAAACTATAAATTTTAAAACATAAAATTCATAAAACAATTAATTATTAATTAGAAATGAAATTACTCAACATTTTATTAAAATTATATTTTATATTTTAATAGTTAAAAATAATATTTATATTTTAATAAATATAATAAATTATAAATAATTATTATTTATATTTATTAAAATATAAATGTTATTTATTAATATATAATAATTAATCTTTATGTAATAAAAAGAAATATCTATATATAAAATTAATAAAAAGGTAAAATTTATATTTATATGAAAATTAGTAAAAAGGAAATTAAAATCATTTTTATATTTTTTACATGAATGTAGATTTTTTTATTAATTTTACATATATACATTTTTTTAATTAATTATTTTCGATCATGGTCATATAATCAATCATTTTTATTAACATCTTTTTTATTAATTTTATTAATTATTATTTTTATAATTATTTTTAATTATGATATCAATAAATAAAATTTTTTGTTAGATCATTTTTTTTAAAAAATTGCTTATTTTTATTCATGTATAAATTTTTTTATAATATCACTATTCACGTATCTCAAAATATGCCAGTATATTATTAATAAAATGATGCAAGGGTTTTTATAGTAGAAAATAAGAATTTGGGGACTTATTTAGATAAAATAGTAGTATAAGAGTTTAATTAGATTATTTTGAATACTTGAAGTTTTTTTTTCATATTTTACCTAAATTTATTAGTTGGTTTTGAACCAGTGGTTCAAAAAAAATGTCTAGTTTACTTACTTATTATGCAAATCACTAATTCATAATGATTTAAAGTGATTTAATTGCAAAACTGATTTAATTACAGAATTGGATCAGTTTCAACATTGATTCATTAATTCACCCAATCGAACCGACAGTCCATTTGATTTTGATAATTATGAAAAATAAATTTCATATTTTTTATAAACTAAAAGAAAGAAGAAAAATGAAAATAAAAATTCAAAGGCTCAATTTAGTGCAATAAAATGATAAATGCTTGACTAATTATTTAATTTTAATTTATGAACTTTTTATATTTAAACTTTTAAAATATAACTTAATTTAATATATTTTGTTGTTCATTTATTTCAAAAGCTAACTAAACTAAATTCAATCAGTTAAATTTTTAAAATTAATAGATTCAATTTGATAATTCAAAAAATAATATAATTCAATTAATTTATAATTAAAAATTAAAAAGTTGAACCAACACCCCTAGCTTTATCTATAGCTAACTTACAAAAAATAAAAGTGGCATAACCTAATCATTGGATAAAAAATTTTCCTTCTCATAAAAATAATTTTAAAAAATAAAAGATTAAATTAAAAATAACTCTTATATTATATAATTTTTATTAGTTTGATACCTAAATATATAAAATTCACATATAAATGCTCAAATACTTATTCTGTTAGCCACTTTGATACTTCAAACTAATATTATTAATCAAGTTGCTTATGTGATGTTAATACTTAATAAAATCATTATACAGTATAAATTTCTAATTATTGCCACGTAAGCTCTCTCATATCAATATTTAAATAAAGATTAAAAAAAATTTCAAAATTCAAAATTAAAAAAAAATTTATAAAAAAAGAGAAAAAAAAAAAAAAAGAAAAGGGTAAAAATGTCGATAAATCGAAGCCTATCTGCCTTGGACCTGACAAATTGACGTCGATTAGATTCATTTGAGGTAGATCAATGTTAATCTGCTAAATCCGAAATAGATCAACCTTAGTCGGACCTAAGGCTGACCAACAATGCTTCCTCTTCCCTTTTCTCTCTCTTCTCGCTTCTTTTCTAATCATTCTCTCTCCTCAATCCTTTCCTTTTTTTTATTTTTTAAAAAAGTCATCTTCTTTTTTTAATTTTAATTTTTAAAAATTTTTGCTCACATAACATGATTTAGTGAGCATTATCTTACATCAACTACTCAATTGGCAGTAATAATGTGAAATACTAAAATGCTTAACAAAATAAAAATTAGAATACTTAAATATGAATTTTATTTTTTTAGATATCATACTGACATAATATATATGCTACAAAAATCATTTTACATGTTAACCCAAAAATAAATAGAGATAGGTGCGTATAAGCAATGCGAGCTTAAGGCAAAAAAAAAACACACACAGATGCATAGCCACTGCGCCGGTGGAAAACAACCAAAGGCAGGGCTCTAAATACATTCACTACCGATCTTGCTCAGTCCCACCGTATATCATTACAACAAATATCAATTGAATTTCTTTGCAGTGGAATCCCCAGTCTGAGCGGTGGAAGAAACAGGCAAAAGTAATCAAATTAGTTACATGTTGAAGGCCGGGGCTTCGGGCGTATGTAGAAAGAGTTGCCACAATCAATTGGAGTATGCATGAGAGGATTCCATCTATCAAATACTATTCGGCCCCCACGGCCCATTCTTCCATGAAATTTATAGAGCGGTGCAGATGCACTATTTTTTGTTGAAGAATCAGATGGGGGTACAATGCTTGCAGCTGCCAGCTTATCTGGAACTAGCGGTTTTGTGAACAGCAAAACTGGCTCAAGAGGATCCTGCATTATTAATCATACCAAAAGAAAGAGAACCCATACTCAGAAATGTGAGACCACAATTTATGAACGAGTCTAAAGTAAAAGCCAACTCCACCACAGAAGTTGGAAAACCAAGTCTACAACATTTGTTCTAGAAATGCTGTCTAAATGGCACACCAGGCCCATTGTTTATGATATGACAATACAAAATAGAGCAATTATTTCTTTTAGGAATTGCATGTTTAAGTTGCAAAGAGAGGACGCCAAATTTGACAATCCATACCAGTTTATGGTGCCATCCATGGAGCAAATGTTGCTGCCGAAACTCTTTCTTAACGCTTCCAGCGGAAGCCATGGCCACATTAGAATCTGTTAGAGGTGGATTCTGAACTGCAGCAGGTTGTGTACGTGAACGGCTGTTTGCCAGGTCATCTGAGTCCATAAACTCATCATCACTTGAACCAAACTTGCTAGATATGGGTAGAAATCCAGGAAGCATAATATCTTCAAGAAGCACCATTTCATGCTGAATTTTTGTTAAGCAGCCATGAAAATCATCCAAAAACAATTTTCAAATCATATTAAATTGTATTTTCCATAGCACATTAAAATTTATTTTAAGAAAATGTAAGAAAACCAACAAAATGAACAGACACATTGTGGTAAAAAACACAGAGGAGACATCAATGGTTAAAAGATTAGTCATTGAGAGAATTTTATATAATGGAAAAAATGTAATTCTGCAGAAAACATGCACTAGTGACAGAAAACTCTTTCAGAAAGCATACTGCCTAAAACATAGGATATTACTTGTGCCCTGCTATAACCAACGATGTGCCAGTAGGGGCTCAACATCGTCAGGCAGATTGTTACAAGTTTCCTCCTATTTTAATTTTATTTCCCCTTGTTTTACATCAAAGTAGAGGTTTATGATGGCGTTTTGACATTTACCTTAAATACACCTCAACCATTTAAATTTTCCGTTCACTATCAGCTATCGCTTTAAATGCTCTCAAATAGATTAAAGACAGTTAAAACCCACGCATCTTACAAAAACCTTTTTAATAAATACTCCATTACTATCAGCCATTGCCTAAATGCTCTCAATAGGTTAAAGATAATTAAAACCCAGGCATTCCTGGAAACTATAAGTGAAAAGATAAGCAAATAATACAATACATCAGACACATACCTTGTACTTCATTTGGATCCTCTGAAGGCTAACTTCACACTCCAGAACATCTCTCTTCTTCTCTTCTCTCTGCATTCAATCACAAATCAAAGCAGTATGAATTCAGGTGCATTCGTAGTCTCTATTTGCAGTCAAATATGCTTAAAACTGAAGGAGTAAAAGCACCTTGATTAAAGCCTCCAGTAAGGTCTTGGCTTGGTCTAGGTTGCGTCTGACCTGAGAGTTCAATAGCAAAAAAGAAAAATTAATCTGATAACCGATGAGGATTGTTATGAAAATGTTAGTAAAGTAATACAAGAATTAAAATGAAAAAATAATAGTGGCATATTGTCCAAAACAATATTAAGATAACAAAATCTCTGACAATAGGGTCTTGAATTGACTTAAGCATATTTTCATAACAAATTACTCATACACAGCATCATATTCAAGAGTAGAAAGTAAAATAAAACATAGATTTTAGTTCAACACTGAAAGGAGTCAATGGATAAGAGAGAACGAAGAAAAAAAGTCAAGTGAATAGTTGCATCTTTTCCGCCTTTTCTAATGAGACTCACTACTGGTTGAGAAAAACTTATGGATAACCAAAAATTAAGAATTTCCATCCTTTATAATGGCCTTTCAAGAAAGGCAAGAAAGCAAGCACTAAATTCACAAAACATAGCACCATGTTTTTGCATGATGCAAGTTCTGTGCCTAGGAGAATCATTTCGTTGACCTTGTAAGTATTGTTTCTGTAGAAATCTGATTCTCCTACATTAGTACAGCTTGATTTCCTAATTTATTTTGAGAATATTTCTCATTTACTCTTCTGATTTCTGATTGTCAAGTGTTTAGGGATTTGTTTCTATTTTAGAATAAAATAATTCTCCTTCCTTTTATTATTTTTGGTTTTCTGTTTCATGTAAGTTGTTTCCTAATAAGAAACTTCACTGTTCCTATTTGTTTAGATCTACTCCTTCATTGTAGAGAGAATAAGAAGATATAAGAACAGTTGTTTTTTAAGTTTTCTACATGATATCAAAGCAAGTCGGCCTGAACCATTACATTGTAGCCAAATGAGTTTCTGTTATGGCTAGCAAGAGTGAGAACTCTTCTGCAGAGGTATGGCATGAGGAAAGTCACAAAGAGGTGATGCTCTAACAAACCCTTCAAAACAAGTCTGCACCTTTTGGAACTAGTTTATTAGCACAAAAATGTAATTTCGTGTTCAACGGGAAAATACACAATATTGGATTGCTGATTTAGGAGCATTAAATCACATGACTAGAGATGCATCCTTATTCAACACATATAGACTTTGCTATGATAGTTCTACTGTAAAAATTGCTGATGACTCTCTCTCAAAGGTGGCAGGAGCAGGTTTTATTGTAGTTTTAAAAGACATAACAATTGAGTCTGTCCTCCATGTCCCTAAAATAAGCTGTAACCTACTTTCTATCAGTAAGCTTACGAAAGATAGATGTTGTGTTATTTCAGGAATTGGGCTCAATGAGGATTATTGGCAGTGCTAGGATGTGTGTAGGGCTCTACCTTCTTCAAGATGATGCACTTGAGAGACCACAAAACACTTGTACAGTTTTAGCCTCTAGTACTAATAAGGATGACCTTATCATGTTATGGCATTATAGATAGGACATCCAATTATTTCATACCTAAAAAAACTATTTCCCTCATTATTCAATAACATCTCTGAAGATTTTCAGTGTGAAATTTGTCAACTTTCCAAGCACACTCAAAATACCTACCTTAGCCTTTCCCATAAATCATCTTCGCCTTTCTCAATGATTCATAATGACATTGGGGGACTGTCAAGAGTTAACAATATCACAGGTTCTAGGTGGCTTGTTACATTGATTGATGATCATATTCGACTCATTTGGGTATTCCTTATGAAAGAAAAACCCAAGGTTAACCAAATCTTTCAAAACTTCAATAGCATGGTACAAACCCAATTCCAAGCCAAAATCCAAGTCCTTAAAACTAACGATGGAAGGGAATACTTCAACTCTATTCTTGGCCCTTACCTCACCAATCATGGCATTATCCATCAAAGCTCTTGTGTTGACACTCCAGAGCAAAATGGGATTGTCGAACACAAAAACAGACATTTGATAAAAGTGACCAGATCCCTCTTGTTGACTTCCAATGTACCTAAATATTTTTAGGGAGAAGTTATCCTTACTGCAACTTATTTGGTTAACCGAATTCCTTTTCGAGTTCTTGGCTTTAAAACACCTTGTCAAACTCTCTTTGCTTCCTACCCACAAACTTAGTTGATCTCTTCCATTCTCATCAAACTCTTTGGCTACATCGCCTTTGTTCATATTAGCCAACACAACCGCAACAAGCTTGATCCCAAAGCCTTAAAATGCATCTTCCTTGGTTATTCCCCAAACCAAAAGGGCTATAGATGTTACTCACCCATCACAAAAAAATTCTATAGATCTATGGATGTCACCTTCTTTAAGAATCTTTTATACTACAGCAAGAATAATATTCAAGGGGAGAATACTACTCAGGATTATCAATTCTTAGCTATTGACTTGCCAATTTCCCAACCAATCCCTTCAAAACCAAATTCCAATCCAAATTCTCAACTAGCCCCTTTAAAACTAAAATCTCAACCATCCCCTTCAAAACCAGATTCTCAATCTACCCAACCTATTAGCCATGCAGATTCCAAAACCCAACTTGTTCAAACAACTCTTGACTCTTTAACCCAATCTATTCAAACAATTCTCGATTCCTCAAACCCTAAGGTTATGCAAGAAAAAACAAAAGAACCGATAGTCTACTCAATGAAGCAAAAAACACAGGAAGAAGTGGACAATTGTACACAACCCAGCACTAAAAAACAACCTGATCTGAGTCTCCAAGAACCTGAAACTAACATAGGTCAAGTCCCTATTGAATCTGAACTGAAACTTGTAAGCTAGCTGGTGACCTTGACATTCCTATCGCATTAAGAATAGGTGAGGTCATGCACCTGACCCTATCTGCAAGTACATCTCATATGACAGGTTAAATCCAAGATTTTGAGCCTTTACTACTAATCTTGACAATGTGCAAATTCTAAAAAATATTCAGGAAGCCCTCAATGGATCAGATTGGAAGGCAACAGTTCTTGAAGAAATCAAGGCACTAGAGAAAAATGGGACATGGGAAATTTCAGATTTGTCCAAAGGGAAAAACCTGGTTGGATGTAAGTGGATCTTCACAATAAAGCACAATGTAGGTGGAAGTGTAAACAGGTTCAAAACTAGACTTGTTGCTAAGGGGTTCACTCAATCCTATGGGATAGACTATGAGGAGACATTTGCTAGCCAAAATCAATTCAATTAGTGTTCTATTGTCACTAACAACCAACTTGGATTGGCCTCTCCACCAACTTGATATCAAGAATGCATTCTTAAATGGTGACTCGGAGGAGGATTCCACATGAAAATTCTCCCTGGTTTCAAAAGGCAAGACAATATGGGCAAAGTGTCCAAAAATCTTTATATGGGCTTAAACAGTCTCCGCAGGCTTGGTTTGAATGGTTGAACAAGGCAATGAAGAGGTATGGATTCCTTCAATGTTAATATGACCATACTATGTTTGTTAAGTTCACTAATGAAGGAAAAAGAGTTATTGTTTATGTGGATGATATCATAATCATCGAAGACCACAAGGAAGGAATAGATGATTTGAAAAAGCTTATTCCAAAGGAGTCTGAAATAAAGGACTTGGGGTTCCTCAAATATTTCCATGGGATGGAAGTGGCTCCATCTAAGAAAGGAATATCAGTGTCTCAGCATAAGTATGTACTTGATCTACTCAAAGAAACCGCCATGATTGGATGCAAACCGATTGATACAACCATGGACTTGACTGATAACCACACATGACCTGATATCAGGTTTATAGTAAGGATGGTGAGTAGATACATGAATAATCCAACCAAGGAGCATCTGAAGGCTGTTCATCGCATCTTTTAGTACTTAAAGAAGAGTCCTAGTGAAAGTCTATATTTTAAGAAGTCAATGGACAGGGCAATCGAGGTGTACACAGATGCTGACTAGGCTGGATCAGTAACAAATAAAAGGTCCACTGCCGGGTACGGCACTTATGTTTGGGGCAATTTGGTCACTTGGAGAAGTAAAAAGCAAGCAGTTGTAGCTAGAAGCAATGCTGAGGCTGAGTTTAGAGCAATATCCCATAGTATTTGTGAAGGAATTTGGCAGATGAAGTTACCTGAAGAATTAAAAGTTCAGATTGTGACATCTATGACACTATTTTGTGACAATAAGGCTACTATATGTATAACCAAAAATCTTGTTTATCATGATAGGACCAAGCATATAGAGCTAGATCGACATTTCATAAAGGAAAAGATAGAAAATGGGTTGGTCAGACTGACCTATATCCCTACAAGTTCACAAATTGCAGACATTCTAACTAAAGCTCTTCCTAGAAGCATTTTTGATGAATTGAAATCCAAGCTGAGTATGATTAACATTCATAACCCAGCTCGAGGGGGAGTGTAGAAATTTGATTCTCCTACATTAATGCAGATCTGATTCTCCTACATTAGTGCAGCTTGATTTCCTAATTTATTTTGAGAATATTTCTCATTTACTCTTCTGATTTCTGATTGTCAAGTTTCTAGGGATTTGTTTCTATTTTATAATAGAATAATTCTCCTTCCTTTTATTATTTTTTGTTTTCTGTTTCATGTAAGTTATTTCCTAATAAGGAACTTCACTGTTCCTATTTATTTAGATGTACTCCATCGTAGAGAGAATAAGAAGAAACAAGGATAATTGTTTTTTAAGTTTTCTACAGTTTCATATTAAGTTCATTAATGTACAATGAAATGAAGAGTAATTGTGCTCACCTGGCGAAGCTTTTCAAATGACTGCACATTGTTTTCTCTCCTTTGCATCTACATAAAATATAGAACAAACTTAAGGTACTTACAATGGAAAACCTTTACTAAGGGTTTACAACTAAAGTCAGAAACTAACCCTTCTTGTGTGAAGTCTGTGAGCTTTCTCCCTTGGCCTAAAGACATTGTAGGGGTTGTTATCATTAACTGGTGGAGGAGGCTGCACAAAAAGAGAAGAATTTAAATGCCACTGTCAGTAACTGATCTGTTTTGTGTGGTTGAAGCATATTAATTCAGGTAAAGATTAAAATGAAAAAAAAAAAAAAATATATATATATATATATATCATTGCACAAATATAGCACAAAGAATAATAGCTGATACTTATAAGTAGCCAGCTTGCCCCAAAACTTTATTGATAGTAAAACTTAAGAAGAAAGATGGGAGAAAGCCACAAAAAACGAATTTAAAGATTATAGACATTGAAAAACAAATGAAAATTTGCAGCAGCTACTTCTGATTGAATTATTTCTAACAATTGTCACTCCTTAAACAACCGATCTTGCATTTGACAAGTTCTGGTAATCTGATATAAAACATAAAATATCCAAAAGAGGAAAGAAAAGGATAAAGATTCCAAAAAATGCAAGAATTTTATTTGTAGTATGAAACTGATTCCAGATAAAGATATAATATAATGATTTTTAGTAACCTAAACATCAAATCCACATAGCAACATCTCAACAAGGAATATATCTATTTTTCAGTACATATCTCAACAATGAATATACGCAATATGTGATTAATAGAACAATCTCCATATTTCATAAAGTAATAAAATTAACCTGCAAACACCGTAAAATAGGCTTCTGCCACTGTTCACGCTGGAAAAAAATAAGGAAAAAGACAGAATTACATAAATATCCATGTTACAATGTCAACAATAATTCAATAAGTTTGGCACAAGAGCTTCAGGAGTATAAGGCAAATTAATATAGTAGGATAATAATTCAAACTATGTAGCAGTCACATTTTGTATAGCCATGCAGCAGTCCAAAATATTTTCACCATGTCCAGACTTTGCATCAAAATAATGGCACCTCCTCCACTGATATCAAAGTAAGCAATATAACTTGACAATACAAAACTTAATTAAGTATTTATATAATTCTGAGCACTATGAAAACCCCAAGCAGACTTCTTCCTTCAAAATCATTCTGAATCTCTGACAAGTCCATAAAACACCCAGCTATGATAATTGTTCCCTACCTTTTCTTTCCAATAGTCATAAATTGATTGAAAGACTCCATATTTGATGGATTGAGATTGCAAGGCCTAACAATTTAAAGAAACCAGGAAAATTAGAATAAGCATGAGCTCATGTATCACTCTCAAATGATTTGGCAAAAAATAAACATGTTATCAAACAAGAGTTAGTATTTGGAGGTAAAGAATCAGGGTAAACATTTAACATCTTAAGTGCGATGATATCTCTTCATCTTGCATCAAAGTTCTTAAAACAAACTCCAAGTAAGCAACTCACAAATAGGGAAAGAATAAACAGACAAAAATTACCAAAGACTCTTGGGCTTCAAACCTGCTGCTCATGGAAATAATAGAATAAGTGAACATAAAGCGGTAGAAGGCATCAACCATCATAGCATTAGAGGATGATAAGCTCTGATAAGAGAATCATATAGGAGAGATTTTACACTTATTGATCATTGAAACCTATAGTTATGTATGACTTATTTTAAGTAGCTTCAAATCTTGTAAATTAATATAACCCATGGTGTGTGACATAAGCATAGATATGAGATGCATGACAAAAACTATCAAATTGGTGAGCACCTGCTCAATCAAAACAAACACTCACCTCAATAGCAGCATCCATTGTCAAAAGCACAGGAATTGGTGAAACAGGAGGTGTTATAACTCCTGCTCTTTCCCGAGCTTTATGATCCAACACCTCCAACTTAAAAAGAAGACTCTCCAACCTGCTTTAACAAACAAAACTGCATAATAATTAAACAGAAAGGAAATATGCAAGGGACTCACAGTACAACTGATTTGAGCGTGTATAAAATGATAACATTTAGGATGCATTTGGATGAGGGATTTCATTTGTAGAGGGACTTTCAAATTTCTAAAATGGAATCATGGCAAAATAAAAATTGTAATTGTCAAAATTCTTGGAATTTGAATGAGGAATTTTGAAGGGCTTAAATTCTCTTTTCAAATTTCACCTAAGGTGGAATTTGTGAAATTCCTTGGTTTTATAGCAAGAAGTCAACATTTAAAATGTTTCTTTTTTTTTTTTTACGCAACTTTTGGTTTCTTTAATTTTAACTAAAAAACTCATTAGATAATCTATATTTTAATCTTTTTCATATTGTTAGTAATATCTACAAACTTTTACAAATCTAATGACACCCCTATTAAATTGTTTTTTAGTATTTTTCCTTTTCTATCTCTAAATCATTATTTCTCTATAATAATTATTTTTTATCTCATCAAATTTCTATATTTAAAATTTCTTTCTAAAAAATAATTATCCAAACAATGCAATTACAAAATCTATTATTTTGGTTGATGCATTTCAAAAGCTAGTACTTCAATTTCAAAATTCCCCATCCAAACGGACCCTTAGGGTGGATCGGCCAAATCCCAGGAGAATACTTGCCCCTTGCCTGGGTTAATATCCATCTAGCATAGCACTGTCGTTTTCAAAAATAAAACAAGGTAGGAAATACGCTCTTGTTGGCTACAAAGAAACCAGAAGAGAAAATTATGCTTGCTTCTAGTAGGTAATAGCTTATACATGATTAAAAAGAATAAAACAAAAGAAGACACCATCAAAATGCTGCATGCATGCTGAAGGAGTTAATAGATATTTTTAGCTCATTCAATGGTTCCAGCAAGTGAATCAACTACCTCTGATACAAAAGCTAGAACCATGAAACTAAATCAACACTGCTTATAAAAAGGCAAAGAAGCCCTAGATCACTCAAAGGGTAGTATACTTCCCATTAAAAGAGAATATTAATGCAGAAACAGATCATTAAAAGATTTTAAATTGCATAAAATAAATTCTGAGCACTATTAGGGAGACATAGTTTATGAGAAATAGGACCAACTTGAGAAAATCAGCTTCTTCATGCTCGCTTTTAGACAAATATAACAGTCTAGTCAACTTCCCAACAATCTTCAAACTCAAAGGTAAATAAAGGGTAAAAAAGAGTTGATTAAATAATTTTAACAGAAAATATCAGATGAATAACTGAAAAAAAAGAAAGGAACTTTTTAAAGAAAAATCTAGTACTTGAACATGACCAACAGAACAGCACAAATGCAATAGCAAAATCAAGATTTGTGTAATTACCTTTCAGGTGCAAGAATCTTCTTATCCTTGTTGTACTCTTGAAGCCAATTTTCATCCTCATTATCTAGATCGTACTCAACAAACTCCCCAATCTCAGCCCGGGCTGCAGATAATTGTAGAGAATTTCAGAATGCTAACATTAATTGAAATATCACAAGAAAAGAACCATCCAAACTAGCTTTTATTTATCAGAAGATGTATCTTTCTGATTTCACAAACCTCCCCTCGCTCGTAAATAGGATGTGGGTTGAAAGAATGTGCAAGAATAATCTCTTTCATATGTATCCACAACAACAAACTGAGGTATAGGTATTTCAGGAGCGAGTTTCTTGGTAGGGATTGATTGTACCTAAAAAAAAGTTATATCTATTTAAATGAACAAATATTGTACTATCACAAAGGACATGTAGGAACACTAATAACTTTGAAACTATAGAGACATTTACAGTTACAAAAATTTAAAAAGTAAAAGTCATCTTTAACATTTAGAAGTCTGCTCATTAGCATAGCATTCTTAAAAAATGTCCAAAAGTCATTTGATTATGCCTACCCTTATGGTTGGTTGAAATAACAAATTATTCAGTAAAAAGGGCTACGTAATGTACCCAATTCCTCTGGGACAGACTAAGGCACTCTTTCTTTTTTTTTGCACTACAATTTATACGAATAAGTAGTCCAATTCCATAGTACTCACACACAATTCTACAAGCCATATATCTACATATCAACTGATTTAATTCCTTAGCTTTGTTTGGCTTGTGTTTTTGCTACTTGCTTTTTGCTTTTGGAAGCAAAACAACGAAAAGAGTGTTCTGGTTGTTGTTTGAAAGAAAAGCAAACAATGCTTTTTATGGATTATAGATAAAACATATGATTTTTTTAGATAACAAAATCATAATTCTACTTTTATATAGACTAATTATACCGCAATTATTGTAACATTTTACTTATTTTTATTTGTCCATTTGCAAATCAATTATGAATTTTTTCTTTACCTTTGTTTTTTCTTTCTAGCAACATTTTAAGAAGCAAAAAGCAAGTAGCAAAAGAATCAACCAAACAGAGCCTTAAAGTATGAAGCTAAGTCACACCGAAGATCTTGACAAAATAGCCCCCAACTGTTGTAAAGCGTCTAATTTTTATTATTGCTTTTCCAGAAGCTACATTTATATACAAAAGCAAATGCAATAATTTGAAAACCATAGTGCATGATTTTGCTTTACTTTAAGATTTCAGATTGCCAGTGAATTCAAGATAATAGAGCTAGTGATAACAAACAGAAATAATAAAAAGACAATAAAGAACAAAATATTTTAACATGAAAAGCAAAATAGAGGAAAAGGAGAGAAAAGGGTACCTCGGTATCGACCTCGGCAGCAGCAAGACGCAGCATTTGAGAAATACGAGTGGCGGAAGTAGGAGTCTCATCGTCTTCGAAGTCTTTAACTGACTTAACAATTGGCAGCTTCTTGTGAATGTCTAATGGGCGTGGCCTAAATGATAGCCTACTCATTTTTTTTCCGTCCCTTTTTTTTCTTTCCCCTTACAGCTCTCTTAATCAATTAACTCATCCCACATCGAAACCAACAAACTAGAGAAAAAAATTAACAAAATGCAAAGCGAAAATCCACTTAATCATTCAATTTCAAATTCTGTTTAAAAAAAGGGGGAAATTTTGCAATTGCATGCATTGGTTTATAGCGAAATTAAATGGAACTGTTGGGAGCGGAATGATTGGAAATAGCGGAATTGGGTAACGAAGATTGAAAATTGGATAGGCTTACATAGGCGAGTCGTTACGGGGGAGGGAAGAGGGAGATTCTAGGGTTTGGCTGCCGCTGAGCGGGATTCTCTGGGATTGTGTGTAGTAAAAGAAAATACTGAACAGTAAAGAGGAAAGATTTTGGAACAGAGAATAACGGTTTGGGTCGGGCTATATTGGAGATGAATTCCTTAAGGACCACTGAGGAGACATAGAGGATAACGGGGCCAGTGGCGGCCTTCCAACTGTATCGTTTCGAAGTTGGCATGCAAGTGTTTTCCTTTTTTTTTTATAAAGGTTGTCCAAAGTGTCACCAGAATCAAGTGGGATAATTATAGCCAAAAAAACCTCCAAAAAACCGAAGCAATATCTTACCTCACCATTCCCACTGCCAGCCCCACATCTAGCGAGCCCTTTTATATATTTGGCCACATTTAATGAGATACTTGCTATGATGTTGGTTAAGGGACAAATAAAAATTAGATATCAATATACCATGCTAATAGGGCTTTGCAAAATAAATAGATCAATTATACACGGATAAAAAAGATTGCATTCACGTTGATTGTGGTTGCTCCCCATATGAGGAGTACTTCGATGCTTGTATCATTATTGTGCTAATGATCAAACTCTTAGGGAAAGATTGTATAAGACTGACACCTCAGATAGGATAATTAGGTGGAATGTTGATTTCAATGAGTTTCACATTAAGTACAAGCCTAGGAAAGCCATCAAAACTCAAGCTTAGCAGATTTTATTGCTAAATGCTCTTTCACTTTGGAGATCACAACCCTGGTGGTACTTAATGAGCCATATTAAGTAAAGCAAAGAAAGCAAATAGAAAAGTGAAAAGGTGGCCTATAACCTTCTAAACCCAAAACAGAGATTAATTGAACACCTCAAGTGATAAGACCTTTACTAGGGGATACTTGTATGTTGTATGTTGATCACTTTTCTAGTAAGGATGGACCAAGAACAGGTATTTTGTTAGTCAACCCTCATGGACAAGAATGGTAATAAAAACTATTCTTTAGGTTTTTTATGTTTAACAATGTTGAAAAATATGAAGCACTAATTATAGGTTTAAAATTGGCTTAGCCTGAATGTGAAGAATTTGTTGGTCTACATGGATTCCCAACTGGTTGCTTACCTATTGAATGGTGAGTATGAAGTCATGGACCTAACATTGGTTAAGTAGAATGCCATTGTTCGACAACTTAATTAATTATTTCTTAGTATTTCTCTAAAACAGATCCCTTGCAATAACAACATAAAGGTAGATTTTTTGTCAATGTTGGTAGCTTTCATTGAGATAAAAAAGAGTGAAAAAATATTACTGATGTGCAGACACCCCTATACCTATAGCCCACCCCAATACTATGCTTAGAAAAAGATAAAAATTAGATTTTGACCAAGAGCTGCTAGAAAGCTTTAAGAAAAGAGTAACTAGATTTGTATTTCTTAGGGACATTTTACAAAAAAGATTTCTCTTCCCCATCACTCTAATTTTTGGTGCCCATTAAGTTTGATTACATTTTAAAAGAGATTCATGAGAAAGTGTGTAGCCACTTCATGCGTGAAAGTGTATTCGTGCAGTAATCATTGAAATAATGGTATTATTGGCCAAACATAAGCAAAGGCGTAGTGAATTTTGTAAAGAGGTGTGACAAGTGTTAGAAGTTCACCCAAATTCCTTGATAGTTGACAAAAGTACTTAATAAGATATTTAGTCCCTAGCCCTTTACACAATTGGTTATTGATATTATTGGTCTTTTTCCTATTGTTGTTATTCAAAAAATATTTATGATAGTTGAATGTGATTATTTTATTAAGTGGGTATTAGTAGTAGAACCAATCCCTATTGTTATAGTTAAGATAATGGAAGATTTTGCTCGGAAGTTTATAATCTATCATTTTACTTTGCTCAACACCATTGTAGCTGACAATAGTATTGAATTTCAAATTGATAACTTAAAATGATTTTACAAAACTTCAAGGTAACAGTGGTGTACATTTCAGTGACATCTAGTGACAAATGGGTAGATAGAGTTCATGAATCAGAAGATCCTTAATGTTTTAAAGAAAAAGCTTAATAAAGCTAAGGGTGCATAGGTTAAAGAAACCCTTGGGATCTTGTAAGCAATCAAAATAATAAATCATTTAGCCATTGGCGAGACTTCTTTCAGCTTAATTTGATGACAAAAGCTATGATACTAGTTGAAATGGGCGTGAACATTCTAAGAACAAAACATTTTGATATGAAATTAAATGAAAAAGCCTTGAGGACAAACTTGGACTTATTGTAAGAAACAAAAGACTTGGCTAAAGTTAACATGACTATTAAGATTCAACAAGTCACCAGGTATTACAATGCTAGATTAAAACAACACTTTCAAGTTGACAACCTGGTACTTAAGAATTATAATGCTAATAAAACAATTGGAGAAACAAAGAAGTTGTCATTGAATTAGGAAAGATCATACAAAATTTCTACAGTGATTAGCTCTAAGCATACGGTAGTAAGACAAGGGGGCAACCTAATATCTAGACATGAAATGCCAACTATCTAAAATGTACTATCTTTTATCAAACTTTTCACTAGAATGCTAGGTTTCTCACTTATTAAATGACATTTCATTCAATTTAAGTTGTTGCTATTTTACTTGTTTATTCACTTTTGTACTTATATTATGACATTATGCGTTTATGTTGTAAAATTTTTATACAAGCACTTAAAAAGGACAAAATGACATCTTATCACATTTTTCCATCACTATACTCATTTTTATGTCAAGGTATATAGGCGAACACAATTGCCAACACGTCAAAAGCACCTTATACGCTATAATTATATTTATGTTAAAGTTATCGCACCAATACACTCAATGTGCCTTTTGCATGCCATACTCATTTTTATGTTAAGGCAATAAGAAAACATAGACTTCACTTTGTGTTGATAAGCCTAATGCTTCTATGCACCATAATTATATTTGCATTAGAGCCCTAAAGCCAACACGTTTAATGGGCCTTTATGTGCCATACTCATTCAAGAGGTAAGGCATATAGGCAAACAAATACCCCAATATCTACCAACACACTCAACCGTATTTTATGTGCCATACTTATATTTATGTTAAAGTTTGTACGCCAACACATCCAATATGCCCTACACACCATATCATATCACAACATCCTTACCAATTCATTTACACGCTTAATGATTCCATGCGAGTGATGCCAATTTAAGGTATACTTACCATACTTATTGTATTACTTGCACTTAAATATTACTAATAAGACATTATGGCTCATGCACTACGCAACAACTCATTTTGAACACAACCACAAGTGATCTGCATAGTACTCAATATTAATTAAGAATGAAAACATGGACCATTTAATTGGGCATCGAGCATTACCTAACTCGATTATATCAGATTCGGGTACCTCATAATCTGATAATTATCAGGTACGAGTAAAAAGATTACTAATCGTGATGAATAGGGTAATACTCCTAAGGTACCTTATGCTTAAACCTGATTAAATTTAAACCTAAATAGTATAGAATACTCAAATTCGTTACTCGTTTATATTTTTAAATATCAAAACATTTATGCTTGCTGTGAGCTTTGAACCTCGACAAACAACTTTCAAAGCAAGGGCTTATTAGGTGAACCAATCTCAAAATTTAAAATTACTTGCTACTAAAATTATATTATACATAACAACTTACTTAAAAGTATAATTGTTGTCTAAGCGTAATAAAATTTTATAATAAAATTAATTTGAAATTAAACTAATTAATTATGTTCAAACTTTCTTAATAAATATAATTTATTGTAAATTAATAAAACTTTAATACTAAGTAAAAATATCATTCTTAATATGTTGAGATATATAATATTTTAATATATAAAATACTCATTCTATCCAATTTTATATGTCCCTTATTAGCTATTTTTGGTTAAATCAATTCAACTTTTACCATCACTTTTAATAAAATTATAAAACTAAAATTTTTAAAAATAAAGTAAATAGCATTCATGATCTCTAAACTTTGAGCTACATATCCTTTTGGTACTTGTACTTTTAAACGTTATTTGTTGGTCCTCAAACTTTCAACATTATATTGACAGTCTTTCCATAAAACATTTTGTTAAATTTGACCTTAAAAAAGATTAGTTGATGCCACATGTCAGTATAAATGGTTGACAAATGGATGCTAAAATTATTTGTCTTTTGTATTTTTGTTTGATTTTAAAAATATATATTATACATAAAATTAAAAAACTTTTAAATGAGAAAATTTTAAATTTTTATTTATTTTATATTATAATATATTATCTAATTTTTTAAAATTTAAAATTTATTTATTTTAAATTATAAAACTAGATAAAAATATAAAAATAAATTATATTTAGAAATTAAAAAACAAAAACTTATTAAAAATATAAAATTTATTTATTTTAAACTATAAAATTTGATCAAATATATTAATGTTATATTATATTTAAATATAATTTAAAAAACCATTTAAAAATAAAATTTTGAAATTTATCTATTCTAATTATAAAACTAGATAAAATATATAAATATATTAATCTAAAAATTTTTAAAAAAAAGCTTCTTAAAATTAGAAAATTTTAGAATTTATTTATTTTAAACTATAAATTTTGATAAAATATATTAAACTATAGTATGTATAAAATTTTAAAAAGCTTATTCAAAAAGAAATGTTTGAAATTTGTTTATTTTGAATTATAATATTTGATAAAAATATTATAATATATATTATAATTTGAAAAATAAAAAACTTCTTGAAAAATAGAAAATTTAAAACTCATTTATTTGCATGGTAAAATTTTATATTACATTTAAAAAAGAAAAAATAAAAAATATTTTGATTAATTTTTTATTTTTAAAAATAATAAATGAAAAATAAAATTATTTTTTAAAAGCATTTATTTTATTTTATTTTTATTTTTCCCATCTTTATTTTTCTTTTTTTTTCAATTATCACATCAATCACATCATTCATGTCAATCACTTTTTTATCAAAGTCACTTCAAATATTTAACAATCAAATTAATGGTTAAATTGATAGAAAGACCAATTGGTTACATGATACTTAATAAACATGGACCAAAATGCTATGCTTTAAAGTTTAAGGACCGAAACTATATGCATATTAAATTTTGGGACAATGAATGTTATTTACTCTAGAAATAAGATTTGTAAAGTTTGAATTCAAAATTTTCAAATCATATTTATAAAAATCTTAATTTAATATAATATTTTAAAAATGATA